CTCCTAATTGTTGATATTGTGTGTAAAGTTCATTAATGCTCATTGGTAAATTCACTTGATAAAGCATAACGTTCAACTGTTGACGACTAAAACCACTGAAAATGAAAAGGGTGGACAGGTTTGATTTAATGTTTGTGCTTAATGCTTTAAAGTATTGAACAGCCATGAAGAATGAACACTGAATGTGTCGACATTGAGTTAATAATTGATTAAAATATGATTTCTCATTAGTTATTAGTTTTGATTTCACCGCATCATCTAGAAAAATGAGTGAATGCAAAAATTCTCTATCAAAATTTGAAATAGAAAGTGTTTCAAATAATTCATCCCGTTGTTTATCAATAATTTTATCCTCTAATCCTTGCTTCTTGATTGTATTATATAATTCTTTATACATTAAAAGTTTTTTAAATAATCTTCTGCTTCTTCTTGTGATAAATAAATAATTGGAATTTTGATTAAATGCTTTAAAGATTCAAATGTATCATCTGAAGGTGAACCTGAACGGTTGATATAAATTAACACATGTGAATAGGGTGAAGTGTTAGCAATAATGATAATTTGTTTTAATATCGTTAATGTTTTACCTTTATTTTGTTTACCAATTGCTGCAGTGATTGAATTTAAGTAACATTCAGAATATGGAATTTTCATTAATTTTTCCTTAGATAGAGCATTTCTATTATCACTCAATGCTTCATTAATCATATCATCTACGTATGTATTATATACTCCTGCTAATTCTTCATAAGGGTGGATGAATTTAAATCCATTTAATCAAAAATAAATTTATAATTTTAAACATTTCTATTCATCAATATTTCATCATATGAACTTCTATACTGCGGTGGTGTACCTGTTGGATGATATTTCAAACCTTCATCCGGTGTCCATGTCCAATATGTAGTCCTAGTAAACCAAACCTGAGGAGGATTTGTCACCTTTGAACAGTAAGTGTCATTTTCACCCTGAATGATTGGATAAGCTTTCACTTGTACTGTAACTTGTGAGTTGAAAGTTTCTAATCCATCAAAGAATATACCCGCTCCATCACGTTGAACTGGAATAGTGCATAAGAATGAAGTTTGGTCTTTCCATGTTCTAGCTAATGGCGTGCCATTATCATCATTCAGTGGTCTAGTTAATGAGTCCTCGTATTCTTCTGTGCATTCATTCACTCCATCTAAATCAGAAGCTTGAAGCATACGTGTAAAGAATATGTCACCCACTGTGGTCATCGCTTGATCGGGGAAGTTTCTGGAATCTATAGTGACCTGAAGACCTCGAAGCATTGGATTTTCTAAAACTGTTCTTTGCATTGCATTCTTCGGAAATGTTAACACAACATCTGTAACATTATGAAGAGCGTATGAGAAATCTGAGCTGATACCTTCAGGAGTGATGCAACCTCCATTTAGTGAACGAACGTCAATATGTTGAGCTGGAATCATGAATGGATCTTCCTTACTGAATAAACGTGGTATTGCTTTAACTGATTCTTCAATTAAACCGTATCCTGGTGTAATGCATTTATCCTCTAAAACTTCCATCTTTGTGCATGAAATAATAACGTCTTCAACTGTTGCGTCAGCAGATGTAGCGGCTAAGCTTGTAATTAATTTGCAGGAAGTCCGATTTGTTGGAATTTGCGATCATATTTATAAACATGATTCATAATCTTTTCATAATTTTCATCAGTTATCTTTTCATAAACGTAATTTTGTAAATCAGCAACTCTTAACGGGTCAACCTGACAAAATACTAAAGTATCCCTGAAAACATAATATTTAAGAATGATTTCACCAAATGATTTAGGATAATCATCGAACGCCTGAAATGCTAACAAATCATTTACCGGAATAATCATATCAAAAGTGACATCAACTTCTTCATTTGCTTCTTGAAAACTTCTGAAGGGTCAATATATTTACCACATACTGAGTTATCATATTTTTGAACATTATTATATAACGAATGAACAAACTTTTTAACTTTCCTTTCTGATTTTGGTTTATATGTTGCAAATGCGAAAGATTCACGGGCGCAATCCATCTGAAGATAACCGGCATCACCTCTTTCGGTTTCTACTTCTAATTGCTTAAAGCTTTGATTTGATGATTTATAACCAACGAATAAACGCATGCATTTAAAAGCGGCATCACATGTGAAAGCTTTATTTGAAACTAGAGTTGCTTTAACTTTGCGTTTAATATATGTGTCACCTAATTGGTTCACATCATGAGCCGGATTTGTAATTCTTAAATGAGTTTGTTTATCATCAAAATATGGAGCATCAGAGTCATAGCATGAACTTTCAAGTTCTCTATAATATCTTCTACCGTCATTCTTTGCGAATATTTCATTTATCTTTTCGAATGAATGAAATACATTTCCATTAATCGGTTTAGTGTTTGGCACTAAATAGTTAGTCGTCATTTATGATGAAATAAAAAATCAAAATTAAAAGATGAAAATGAATTTTTAATTTTAATGAAATAATCAACTATGGCTGCAGGATTCTTTAAAAATTGGGATAAAGTAAAAAGAGGAGCGCATAAAGTTTGGGAAACAATGAAGAAGGAGCAAATTGGATATTTAAGAATAAAGAAGCAATTAGTGACGTTGCTGAACAAATAGCACCTAATGTTCCGGTAAGGAAGTTTAAATAAAGGAGAAAAGTTTATCGACTACAACCGATATTGAGATAAAAATAATATTTATTTTTCCACTACTTTCCTCCTATTTTATTAAGTATTCCTTCAGCAATTCCACCAACTGCGTTACCTGCTTGTGCTCCCATCGCCGGATTACCTGCTTTAGCACCTAATACTCCACCATGATAGTTCCTGCCGTTTTCGCTACTGGTGCCAAAAAGTTTGCAATGGGTTTAATATTTTTGATGAACCCAACTTGCAGCTTTCTTAATTCCTTCCCATAATTTTTTAAAGAATCCTGCCGCCATTTCTGATTTAATATTAATTAAAAAATATATTTCATCACTTATATTCTAATTTTTATTTAATGATAAATGAAACCAATATTAAAAATAAATGAAACAGAGGAGGAAGAAATAAATGAAAGTGAAATGTTCAAAAAAAATAAACGTTGTTAAACCAATTACTGAAACAAAAATTTTTCATCTGTTGAAGAATTTAATGACTATTATGCTAATAATAAAAAATTATTTGAAGAATTGACAACATGTAAATTGAATAAAATGTTTAAAGTTGAGGACAGAGTCCAAGACCCGGGAGGTCATGGATTCAAAATTTCAAAAATAAAAGGTGTTGTTAGTTTAAAATCTATTCCTCAATCAAGAATCACCTCATTAATGAAAATTGATGATTTAACAAAAAGAATAGAAATTATTGAAGAAAGAATGAATCAAATAATTGATTTCATAAATCATGACTCGTTGAGCCCGGGTCCTTAAAGCTCAAGGCACAAAGTGCCCAGGACTTAAAGTCCATCACTGAGTTCAAGGTTATATTCATCAAATATTTCATTATTAAATGCAACTTCTGCTAGTTTATTTATTTTTTCAATACGATCATTTGAAAGTCTATCGTTTAATTTTTTCTGAAGTTTTTCATTTTCTAGTTCTGAAACTTTATTTGGATGATATTTAAACCCGTTAAATTCTTTTTCCTCAGTTTTGATCATTAATTTACAAAGAACTTTTGTGGTTGGAATTCGTTTAAACCATTTATCATTAATATTTGTTATAAATTCAATATCTGGAATTAATTCCCAAATTTTTGCATTTTCAATTAATTTATTATCAAATGCAAAAGCAATAGGTTTAATATTAAACTTACCTTTATAATATATACTTTCTACATAATCATCGAAATAAACATCTACTTGTTTAACATTTTCAAGAATTGGTGAAAGAACATCCATTAATTGATTGACGGTTACGAATCTTGATCCACTCATTTTCATACGAATTAAAAAAATAAATTATTCAAAAAATGTAAGACATGAATTTTTAAAGTTTATTTTTTTATTCATGAATGATAATTATATCTGATTTCTTTTACTCTCTCGTATATACTAGATTTAAAGAATTCAGAACTTTTACCATAATCTCCTAAATGTTTTCTTATCCCTAACGTGTGCCAGTTATTATATGAAACTGTATAAACTTTATCTTTATCTTTACATCTTTCATCACTTCCAATATATTTATATCTCAGTTTTGATTTTGCATTTTCATATTCATTAACGTTTAATAATTCACAGTCTTCCTTTTTAAATAAATGTTTAAGATATTCAGGATTTAATACTCTACGTTTATATGCTCCTAACTTAGTTCTAAAGGTTTTTCTACAAAATTTAGGAATTCCATCCTCTTTAATGTCATCAATGATTTCCATTTCATTATTTTCAATTTCTTCTTCTCGTTTATGAGGTCTTTGATTATGACTCCATTGATTCCATGAAATTAAATATTCTTTATCATTATATTTATACCTCATTAGCTTATTTTGGCTTTCATATTCATTTAATAATTCACAATCTTCATTTTTAAATTGAAGTTTAACCCATTCAGGATTTAAACAATGTTTAATTAATCGCGGAATATCTGACATCATCTATATATAGCTTCTTTTATAAAAGATAAAAAAATAAATTATTTTAAAATTAATGTTAATTTTTTAATGATTTATAAATAAATATATTTTAATGCATCGTCTATATATAGATGTAACAAAAAAAGTCACTAAACCCGCACTCATCTACTACTATTAAATCAAAAAAATATCAATATTGATTCACTACATCTATGTTCGATATAAAGATGTGCATAAATTTTCAAATATATTTTAATAGACATTTTTAAAATTAATAAATATTATTTTCATTACTGGGTATTTTTTCGGGCATGTTATAGTTCATGCATCCATGTTTCCAATTTTTATGAAAATACAGTGAGCTTACTTTAATATTATTCATTTATTAATCAACTCAATAAAATAACGACTTTCAAGAATCCCCTAAGTTTCATTGCTGGCACGTGCCTTTATTAAAAAGCCTTTAATAGTTTCATAACCATTTCTGTTAGCAATATCTAATGGAGTTTCATTTGAATTATTTCTAATATTAACATCTATACTTGGCTGATTACATAAATATTCACAAATATCAATATTGCAATTCATTACTGCCAGATGAAGAGGAGTATTTCCAGTTATATCCTTCAAATTTATATCATAACCATACTGCATAAAGTATTTCAGAGCATCAACATTTCCATTTTTGGCAAATAAATGAATTATTGATTTGCCATGATTACATGTGTCAAACTTATTAGCACCACATTCAATGAAATCTTTGGTTAATTGAATATCTCCTCTGAAAGCAGAAGTAAGGAAAACATTATATAAAATTTTTGGCAGAGCAATTGTATGTGTTATATTATGAAAATAAAATATCGTGGCTAAATCTCTTTGATCTGAGGCTTCTTTAATTAAATTATAAACACCTTGGAATTTAGATTGATCCAAATCCATGTTATTGATTTTCTTTATTTTTGGTAAGAATTCACCAATCTTTTGAATAAAGTCTTTGTTATTTGCATTTTCTGATGTTAGGCTATTTATTTTTTCTAATTTTGAAGAGTTCTCTTCTTTCAATTTATCAATTTCATCTTTTAGAGATATGTTATCTCTTCTTAATCTTGCTAATTCATCATTCTGATTCAAAACATCTTGGTTAAGCTTCGAATTTTCTTTCTTCAATTCTATTAATTCGTCATTAATCGTAATAATTTTCTGATTTAGTTTTGCGATTACATCTTCTGATTCTTTAATTTTATTGGCTCTTTCTTTTGATTTATCCATAACTGTTTTCAAAATTGATACAATTGATACTTGTCCATCAGTGGTTGATGAATTATTAAGGGAATCTATAGCATCTCGAATTTCAACATATTCATCATCTAAATATGACATAAGATCAATGAATATCGGATTTTGTTTCACCAAAGAGAATATAATGTTATTTGAACTTTTATTTCTATTTTTGAAACAAATCATTAATTTCTCAGCAAAATCTAGTCCTGCTTCAATAATAGAATCAATTAGACCATTATGATTAATTGTGTCGATGTTTTCACATATGAAATCAAATATATTTTCATTGTTTCCAATATATTTACAATATTTAATCATTTTAAGTATATTCTCTGATGTGTATTCAACATTTTTGAAATTGTTCATGAAGAATGACATCAAAGATTCACTTTTCATCACTTGTCCAAGATTGAATAAGTCAAAAGCAACGTTTTCTTCAATATTTTCTGGAACTTGTAGATTCAAAATTTTTTCGAACATCTTGTATGTGTCAGAGTTTTTGAGATCAACATAAAATCTAAATTCTTTTGTGGCTCGATTTAAATAGAATTCATTTTGCAATTTATTACAAATTGCTAAACCAATATAAAGATTTGTATCATAAACATGATCATTGATATATATCTTAATATGATGAGAGTCGAACTTTTGTAAAGATTCGCACACTTTAGCATAAATGTCACACATTTTGATTAATGAGTTTAGCGGTTTTTTAATTTCCACTACATTTCATTTTTTATTTTTTCATGCCATTAACTGTTATGTTAATATGGATCGTAATTGGGGCCAACAAATGAGAAATTTGACTGTCAAGGAAAAGATTAAAATAAATTATAAGTATAGAACTAATACATTATTTGTTACTATCTGTCAAAAGGTTTGTAGTGGGTGAAGACTCATAATTTTATGAAATTCGGAAAAAATATTTTGAAAAATTTGAGAAAAAGAATTTGTTATCCGAAATTTATTATTTAAAGCTCACAAACAATCAGATAAAAAAATCTTACCTATAAACAACAATAAAAAAATAAAATATTTTTTTTCAATTTTTCAATTTCAGTACGAAATTCATTAAGAATTCGTCAGTAATAGTAGTTGAAATAATCATGGATAAGATTTTATCGTTTTTCTTTTATCTGATTAATCATCGTCTTCTCTGATGCTATTTGCACCATTATTGTCTAAAGATACAAACAATGATAGGAATAGATTGAAAGCAAAATACACGGAAAGCAAAATAATGCTACACATGAGATATTTTTTGCAAAATTTTGGGTAATCACCTATTTCGCTAACAATTTGTTCCTTGCAGTTGTCCCAAGCAATACAATTAAAACCAGTTTGCACATTATATAAATAGGGAGATAAATCGTAAGCAAAAATCGGAAAATAAATCTCTTCTAGGCTGTCCATAATAGAACCAGTAGATGTGTAAGATAGGACTGAAAAGAGTAAGAGTATAAAAACGAAAAATGTATAAGATTGTTCCCAGCATTTGACATATCGTGTTATTCCGACAAATCCAAGAGTCAGTGTACATACGGGGAGAATGATTTCAACCATCATTAATGGACGATGAAGCCAAACTCCGTATTCAAGTAATTTAGACATACGATTATATGGAATGCATACTAATGCAAGATTCCAGATCAGTGTGATAAATGTTGTTGGTATGAAAATTAGGCTGATGACTTTTTGCTTTAATCTGATTTGAAACATTAATGTCACTTTTTTCAAAAAGAATTCGAAATTCTGATCTTCTAGGTTATAATTATGATTTTCTCATTAACACGGAATATAAGTGTATGATTCCTTTCTCCAAATTTAATACATTAGATCATCAATTGATTCCGAAATTAAAAAAATGTCTGTAATTCAATAAGAATTAACGAAATAAAGCGTATTATATACTAATATTTACAAACAAACAGATTTAGAAGAAATGGATAAAATATTATTTGAAAACTTTGCATTTTTCTCTTAAAAAGGATTCTAACGGCTTATTTCTATTGTACTGATGGAAAAATGCAGGAACTGTTCCTATTTCTGACATTATTTGAACTTGTTTGTTTAAACGAATCGAATCTGTAGGTAAGCACCATTGCATTGTTAAATAGTTACCATTACAGCCAGTTAAATCATATTTGATATTTTGCTCATCCAAAATATTCTCCCAAACAAGATAATTAAGAATTGGTTGGTCATAACTCGGTTTCCAGCAGGAAGTCCATTCATCTTGAGATATCATCAAGTCAAGGAGCTGCAAATATGGCTTGACACCGCCAATAATTGATCCTGAGCATATAATATATCTATTTCGCATTTTATTCATCATTGTTTCGCCATAGCATGTTTTCATCCAATTTAAATTCCATCCACAAGAGCGGAAAGCATGTGGTTCAACAACAAAAAGCAGTCTGTCAGTAGAAATTTCTGGTCCAAAAGGATCTTTTTGGAAGTAAACATCAAAAGCATCTGCATGAAATACTCTGTCAACCCTATCTAAATTTTCACTAAGCCATTGTTGTTCAAATTCGTATCTAAGCATATGAGGCACATAATTTCTTTCTGGATGGAGATTTAGGCAATCATCTTTTATTTCAACATCTAATTCATTGAAAAGTGCTTGTATTTTGCTGTTAATTTGTATTTTCTTTGCAGCAAGAATTATAACTCTGCATTGTGAGCCAGTTGAACGAAGTGATCTAACTGCAAGCTCGAGACCTGGATGAAACTTATCTGCTGAGAATAAAATAACATCTCGTTTTGTACTTCCGCGATATAAATTTGATGAAAAATTGCAAGTATTTGGGTAAATGATCGTTTGTTGCTCATTTTGACGTTGCGTAAACAAAAATACTATAAACGGTATTAAGAAACCTATGTAAATTAATGGAAAGAAAGTTCTATAAAATTTCAACATTGTTTTGGGATTCATTGTAATAAAATGAAAATAAAATCATTGATTTATATGATATAGAATCAAACATGGCATATTAACTGATCAAGAACATTATACTTGAAAATTATATTTCATATGAATATTTATCATAGGTAATTCATGCCATTTCATAGCGTAATGCATTTTATTTTGAAACAGCATAAAAATAATATGCATATTTTTATATAAGGAACACTTTATTTTAGCGGAGATATGGTAATGCTGCATTGTTTGAATATTGCTGGGCCAAATCATAAGCAGTCTTATTTTTCTCATCCCTAGCATTTTTATCAATATTTGGAAGGGAGCAAAGATACTTGATAACTTCGATATTTTTATTTTTTGCTGCATAATGAAGAACTGTTTTGTTTTTATAGGATTTGGCATTAATGTCAATTTTTGGAAGGGAACAAAGGTATTTAACTACTTCTATATGATTATTTTTAGCAGCATAATGGAGAGCTGTTTTTAATGAGATGTCTTTTGCATTTACATCAATATTTGGAAGAGAACAAATGTATTTTATTATTTCATCAGTTCCATATTCAGCTGCAAAATGAAGATGAGTTTTATTGCCAATATCTCTTGAATTTATATTAATTTGTGGAAGAGAGCAAAGATATTTAATTATTTGCATCTTATTGCTTTTAACTGCATATTGGAGAGCAGACATCTTCATATGATCTTTTGCATTAATATCAATATTTGGAAGGGAGCAAAGATATTTAATTACATCACTATTATCATTTTGTGCTGCATAGTGAAGGGCTGTTCTTTGGAAACCATCAATTGGATTAATATCAATATTAGGAAGAGAGCAAAGATATTTAATGATTTCAGCATTGGTATTTTGTGCGGCATAATGAAGAACACTAAATTGATAACGATTTCTAACATTCAGATTAATTTTTGGATTTGAACCAAAACATTTAATGACATCAGGATTTTCATTTAAAGCTGCATAAAAGATGGCAGACATATGATTTATATCTTCAATATCTAAATCTTTAATTGGAAGATTTGTTAAATATTTAACAACACTTGAATTAGTGTTTTGAGCTGCATAACGAAGAATTGTTCTGTTGAAACTGTCTTTAACATTGAGATCAACATCCGGAATTGAGCAAATATACTTGACAAACTCAGCATTACTATATTGAGCTGCATAGTGCAAAGCTGTTTGCCCACTTACATCTTTTATATTAATATCAAAATCAGGAAGTAATGAAAGATGCTTTATAACTTCGATATTACTGTATTTAGCTGCATAATGGAGCACTGTCATGCCATAATTATCTTTTGCATTGATATCAAAACTTGAAATGAAGGAAAGATTTTTAATTGCTTCGGTATCATTTTGTTGAGCTGCATAATGAAGAAGTGAATTTCCTTTTTTATTTTTAACATGACAAAATCCAGATTTTTCTGCAAATAAAATAGTATCTGTATCGTCGTTATCAATAGCTCCTAATAATATATAGTATATCTTCTCAAAATCGCTTGGATTTTTATTACATTTTAATAATTTTTTCGCATTTTCACAGTCAGGTGGTTTTTCATATGTAATTCGTGTTCGGATGAAATACGATATATCAGATATGATATTACAATTGTACATTTCTGATAAAAAACTTAAAATTTTAAAAGCTGATTCATTATTCTCAATATTGGCAATTTTAACATGTTGTGCAAGTGAAAAGACTTCTGAACTTTGAAAATTCTTACTAATGATTGTAAATGTTTCAATGAACTGCTGAGGTGAAAATGAACATGAATCAAAGATCTTAGAGAGCTCTGGTATGGTCCTCATATCAATAAATTGTTCGTCATTATACCAATTGTCAAGATCTTTTGCATAGGCTTCATAGTCAATTGAAGTCATTATTCAATTGTGAAGAGTTCTATTGAAAATCGTTTACCATCTCATAAATTTGCATACTTTTTAATTAGATATTAATATATATCTAGATATGATCCAAAAAGAGAGGGTTTTATTCATCATATTCAAAAATTTAATATAATTTTCTTCATTCTATATATAACTTTCTGCTGATTGACTATTTTTGTGCATGCATTTCAATTAGCCATACAATCCATCCAGACAAATAGTCCAAACACACTATGCATGCAAGGATTATTCGAGTGTTTGGCAGTATTGCTGAATATGACCTTGTTTGACACTAATTTCTTCTGGATGCTCATGAACCGAATGAAATCGCCCTTCATAGAGATGATATAATATTAGAAATCATTAGAACAGTTCTTCTATGATAGGAGAGGAAAAAAAGATCTCATATTGCTGAATGCATTGAGGAACAGCTTTCAACAAATGAATTGTCGTTGTTGAAAAATAAAGTTGAAATTTTTATCTATATTGCAATATAACGATATCTTTTGGGTGAAAAACACATGTAAAAGCACTATGTGATTTAATCTACACTAACATTTTCGAGCCATATTTATTCCGAGTAATGAACCGGAAATAGATGAATGGGAAATCTGATTGAAATAAGGTGGAAAGTAATAAGAAATTAATCTAAAATCTACTTTTATAAAACAGTCATGTTCATATGTAGCAAAAATATTTGAAAATCCATAAAATATTATATTTATTATTTATTCCTCTTCAAAACTTTCATTCAAGAATTTAAATTTGCACCATGTGAAAGAAGAAGTTTAATTACTTCTTTACTATTGTTACATATTGCATCAATGAAAGCTGTTTTTCCATCAATATCTTTTTCATTGATATTTGCACCATGATCTATAAGAGATTCAACCATTTCTTTGGAATTATACATTGCCACATAATGAAGAGCAGTTTTCCCATATTTATCTTTTTCATCAACATTTGGATTGTATGAAAGGAGAAGCATAATTGTTTCCTTATTATTAGCAATTGCTGCAAAATGAAGAGCTGTACATCCCATTTCATCTTTTTCATCGACATTAGTAGTATATGTGGGCGGGTTTTGTGACTTTTTTTGTTACATCTATATATAGACGATGCATTAAAATATAATTTATAAATCATTAAAAAATTAACATTAATTTTAAAATAATTTATTTTTTTATCTTTTATAAAAGAAGCTATATATATAGATGATGTCAGATATTCCGCGATTAATTAAACATCATTTAAATCCTGAATGGGTTAAACTTCAATTTAAAAAGGAAGATTGTGAATTATTAAATGAATATGAAAGCCAAAATAAGCTAATGAGGTATAAATATAATGATAAAGAATATTTAATTTCATGGAATCAATGAGTCATAATCAAAGACCTCATAAACGAGAAGAAGAAATTAAAATAATGAAATGGAAATCATTGATGACATTAAAGAGGATGGAATTCCTAAATTTTGTAGAAAAACCTTTAGAACTAAGTTAGGAGCATAACGTAGAGTATTAAATCCTGAATACATAAAACATTTATTTAAAAAGGAAGACTGTGAATTATTAAACGCTAATGAATATGAAAATGCTAAATCAAAACTGAGATATAAATATATTGGAAGTGATGAAAGGTGTAAAGATAAAGATAAAGTTTATTCGGTTTCATATAATAACTGGCACACGTTAGGGATAAGAAAACATTTAGGAGATTATGGTAAAAGTTCTGAATTCTTTAAATCTAGTATGTACGAGAGAGTAAAAGAAATTAGAAATAATTATTTTCATGAATGAAAAATAAACTTTAAAAATTCATGTCTTACATTTTTTGAATAATTTATTTTTTTAATTCGTAAGAAAATGAGCGTCAAAACTAACAACGTTAAAAAATTAGGATTCACAAACGAGGAAATAAAGGATATATTAGATGTGGTGGGGTTGAAAACGATAAAGAAATAATCGAAAAATTAGAAACTTACCGTTCAATCATTAAACTGAGTGAAGCAAAAATAAAAGAATTTAATAGAATAAATAAATTGATTGGAAGAGATGAATTTAATAAAGATGAATTTTTAAACTCAATCCAAATTTAATTTTTATTCCTCTTTGACAACATCTCTCTTTCCATCATTACTGCATAACCACATTTTCTCAATTTTAGTGGTTTGTTATTTTTAACATGTTCTTGCATCATTTTTATCATTTCCTCCCTTGTTATGATTCGTGGTAAATTTTGAGCTTGTGGGGTATTCATTTATGATAAAAATAAAAATTTGTTATCACTTATTTTATCGTTAATGTTTTCAGGTCATTCAATAATTAATTATTTTTGAAGAACTGAAGGTGTCACTACGTCACCATGTGTCACTCGGTTAATTAACTTCTCTGAAAAAATGTGACAACATGACATTTTGACAACAGTCATGGAAATGATTTGTCATGACTTCATCGTAATGAGTGTAAATAACCCAAAAATAATGTTTACGTTAATGGTTTCAGGTTATTCAATAATTAATTATTTTTGAATAACTGAAGGTGTCACTACGTCACCATGTGTCACTCGGTTAATTAACTTCTCTGAAAAAATGTGACAACATGACATTTTGACAACACAGCAGGATTAATGCAAAAATAAATTCAAATCATACTTTATAAAGCATCATTTACAGGTATTTCATCATCAGTAAATGAATCCTCATTATCGTTTGGTTCAACCTGTTTATATAATCCTTTCATTTCTTCTTTCAAAACATAACACCATGTTTGTTTACCATCTATTCTTCTCTGTTTCTTATCACATTTATCCTTAATGCTCATTTGAAAGTTTTTGTCTTTCATGTCTGATGGTTTGCAGAATAGAGCATTTTTACATGTCATACCTGCACACAATTCATCATAATGTGTATTTATCCATACATCTAAAGGATTTGATGATAATTCTATTAAATCTTGTTTGGCTTCAGTCATTGGTATGATTCGTACATTAAATGATGAAAGGTCGTAATTGATAAAATATGTTAAAAGGTTATCATAAAATTCCTTTGTGCATGAATCCATCAAATTCTTGAAGTAATCAAATTGACCCTTGAATTTACCATTAACTCTTAAAACTACGTATCTTCTGTCTCCAACTTCAATTTTGACAGGGTAAACGTTGTTAGTTACGAAAATGAAGTTTGCAACATTCTGACCTGTTCTTCTGGGTTGATTCTTTTCATTAATTCTAATCTCATTATCCGTTATAATTGATTTCAAAGCGTTGAAGTTTGCGAGTCTATCTTCACCTACATTCTTGAGTTCATTAAGTACAAGAAACATTTTATTTTCAACAACTGAGTTGAAATTACCCGTTAGCTCACTTATTTCAGTAATGTTTTTACATGAATAACCAGCGAGAAGTTCAGAAATAATGTCTGTGAATCTGTTTTTACCTGTTCCCTGAAGTCCTTTCAAAATAATTGCTGTTTCATTCTTGATTCCAGGATGTTGAATCATTGATGCAATCCAGCCGAGAAGGTATTTATACACTTCATCGTTATTATCACAAATGGCTTCTTTAATGAAATTCATAAACATCTCAATTTTTGAGTAATCAGGCTTTTCAAGAATGTTGTATTTATAACCATGAAACGTTGAGAAAACATCGGGGGAATCAGATTTAAAGCAAACACCCTTAACGGTTAATGAAGACAATTGATTTAGTAGTACATCCCATGCTGTTATTGTTTTACCTTCTTCTTTAAATAATTTAATCATTTTGAGTGACTCTTTCATGTTTGATTGAAGAACAAATGATATTTGATTCATTTTGTCGTGTATGTTGTAATCTTTCTGAATGAAATATTTATTTCCACAATCTACAAAACGGATTACACGTGATAAATCCTCAATTACTTCAGAACTGTTTTTATACTGATGATTTTCAGCCTTGCGTCTAATATCTGTTATCAAAAACGAGTCATCAAGTTTGATATCAAATGTTATTTTTGGCTTACGTAATAAAGGTAAAACATATTCATCATAATATTCCTTTTGATATAGTTTTAGAATCTTCACCAAAACAAATGGAGAAGTCATTAAATGTGCATATCTACTACGTGCTTTTTCAAAATTACTTTTTGCATTTTCAGTTAAATTGCAGAAGTTATAAACGTTATCGTATGCTTCATTAATTAAATGATTAGGTAACGAATTAATAGCTTGAAACAGTGTGAATAATGTAACTTCTTTTTCTAAATTCATGTTTCCACCGTCATTATGTACTTCAAAATCACAGATGCCGTCAACTATGCTCTGGGCAAGTTTATCGTCAATGTTTACATCTTTGTTTTCATTCATGATAGTCTTTATTTCTTCGTTCTTCTGTTCAACTCTTACCTTAATATTCAAATCATTTAATATATCATTCACTGTTCTGGTTAATGTTGAATCGTAACTTCCACGAATGAATGAGTATGTATTGATTGGTTCTGTTGCATTCTTGCGAACTCTTGAATCAGCCATAACTACTAAAGAACGCTTTGAATCATCCATAGAAGTCATTATATCAATATCGTAATCATTGCAGGAATAACATTTAATCATTCTGTTCGAAACTGAATAGAAGAAATTAGTGTTGCAATAAATGTGAAGACCCCCTGAAGCGGTTTTAACGATAACATCTTTATCCGAAAGTTTTGATAAAATATCTTTTCTAACTGTTTCTTTAAGTTCATCATTGTATGATTTATTGATATCAACATCTATAATCGTTAAATTTGATATTTTATTTACTAATAAAGCCACACCAGTTTTCCTTCCTCTTCCTCCATCATGTTTGAGGTAGTTATGTAAATCAATCTTGTTTTCACCAATTCTTTCGTTGAGGGTTTTAGTTTCTGCCACAACTAATTCCTCAGCTAATGAATCAATAACTTTTTCATCAGAAACGATATAGTTGCTGTTGTTGTTTGTTGCTGTCATTTATATAGGAATAAAAAAATAAAAACAATTTTAAAACTAACTTTATTTTTGGACTGCATCATATTTCCAGGACTGTTGTCTAAATGTCATGTTGTCTCATTTTTTCATAGAAGTTAAATAACCGAGTGACACTGAGTGACATAGTGACACCTTCAGTTCTTCAAAAATAATTAATTATTGAATAACTGGGAAATAAATTTACGTCAAATATGCAATTTATAAAATCTTATGTCGACAGGCTACGTAGCACAGTGGTCTAAGGTGGTGTTATGGAGGGGTCAGGGTCTGTGGTTCGAACCGCGACGGCGCCGTATTTTCTTATTTTCTTTGTTTGTCTTGTTTGTCGTGAATAAAAAGTGTCATAAAAGTGCTCTATCTTCCACGGGAATAAATAAAAAATTTACTTTATTTCTTCTTTATTTCTTCTTTATTTCTTTGTTCCCGTAAGAAGGGTTTTGCTGTTTTTTCTCAGCCGAAATCAATGATTTTTTCATTTTTGGAATCCTTAGCGAATGAGGAATAAAAATTTAAATTATGCCGTTCACTCTTTTGGATCTCAGGACTTTCAGTCCGTTCTAAAGTTTGTTTCACAAACATTGAGCGTTCATTGAACGCGAAACCATGCAAATACAGTCATAAATGGTGGCATATAATCTTCACCCAAGCCTGTTGGATTTGTTGTGAAAGTATGGACATGATTTCCTCCTAGTTCAGTTGGTCGAAAAGTCTTTTTTGCCGAATGGTTATAATCTGGAGATAAAACGTCATTGCCAGCATAATATTCTGAGTTGTATAATGGATGGTCTCTTAATGAGTGACTATGGTCGCCAGAAAAGTTTGTAGTTCCTGTATGAGTGTGCGGTGGAAGGTTTGCTTCAGTAATTTTCTTTGAACCACCTGTTTCCTTTGAACTGTTAGCACAATAGAGGAATTTATCTACAATCTGCTTCCACGTACCGAAACCCAGAACTGTTGCTGGATTTGTTGAGTTCATTGACGTATAAATAGAACCAATGGGGAAAATCATCTCAAGAATTGTATTTAATCCATTATGAATATTGAATTTATTATATA